CTTTGTTGTGCTGTTGGGTTTGCTATTGTTTTTTGTTTTTTTTTTTTGTTTTTCGTGATCTCACACAAACACTCACTAATGTGCAGTACAAAGCAGCGACGAGCAGCAGCGTTCAAAGCTCAGGGATCAGCTATTAGAGCAATTAGCAAAGTTAGTCAAATTGACGATAAGCTTCTTGAAGTCTATTAACTACATTTGAATAAAATTTAATTTGTTCCTCAATAAATGATTTTAGCGCCTGTTTCAAATGTGTATCACGCTCTTGTTTAAAATGCGACATTTCAGCCATTACAGCATAGGAAATAACATCGGTACGACGATTTACATCGGTCATCTGAGCATTACTCATCTTTTGTTCAGCAGTCAAACGTTCGCATTCTTTGCGTTTTTGCATTGCCCCTTTATGTGTAGAAAGAATGTCCGGGAAACTATTCAGGACACCTCTGAAATGCAAGAAAATAAGTGCACGAATGAAAGCGTTGATAGAATGTAACATTTAAAATGTGTACAGTGTACACATGTATGTACATACTTATATACTTAGTATTATACATGTATTTATCAATATGAGGATATGACTATTATATACATAGTAAGTATAAAAAACGATTGATAAGCGAATGAAGCAGTTGCAGAAGATAAGTTCATGACGTTAGGTAAACTCTTATATGCAACTGTGAACTAGTTCAAACACTTTGTGGTTGTTGTTGCATTGTTTATTATTATTACCCACAGGCATAAGTGTTTTTAATTTCAACTTAACTATGAGCGTTGTGTAGCCAAATAATGGTGGCTATCACAGAATTCATCGTAGTCCGTTTTTTTCTGCACTGCGATCACTGAATCCGAATTGATAGGAACGTGTGTATTCAAAGTATACGCTACGGATATTATAAAAACACTACCTTTTCCAATAATTTTTCAAGTTTTAATAACTTAGACATACTAATACTGTCCTAAATTTTTTTCGAAATGTTACCTGTATATATGCAAACGATCCGAAAATGGTATCCAGTCCAATTTTGGCTGATCGCCAAACAATTGTCCCACGCCTATGAAAATGCCGCCAACACGTCCAACACTCTCCGATAGTGCAGTTGTTGTTGATGGTGCGCGTCGTTCGTCAATATTCAATGCCTTTGCCAGATCTG